CCTCCCTCCTCCTCCTCCTCCTCCTCCTCCTCTTCCTCCTCCTCCTTTTGCCTCTGACCTGGCTGCGGAGGAGGGTCCATTGATGGCCTCCGAAAAAGGGAGAGGGGACACTTTTGGGCCGCCTCCATCGAAGGATTGAGTTTTGCCGCTACTGACAGCGGTTCCACCCCCCTGCCAGCAGCCCGACAGGAGGCGACCCTAAGGACGATCACTCAGGCCATGCTTTGAGATCTGGGGGGAGCTTCCCCGCTGAAAGACGTGTGACCACTCCCTTGTCATGGGCAATGAGGCCTGGAACATAATGCTTGCCTAACTTCAAGAGCTTGCCTCTTACTGGGACTTCCGTTCCTCCACAAGCCCGGCACCACGCAACCCTTCGGAAGGAATCCGGGCGATGGGAAGCATGAGCCGACGCGGGGACCCCTGGGCAGCTCGAGAGAAGGAAAGACTCTGGGTCACGAGACTCCTTGACGAGACGCGCCTGACACTTCCACACCCCCGAGGAGGAGCGTTCCACTCGGCGCCGCGTGGCAAACATGAGATGCTCAAGCCTTTCTGCACGGGCCTGATGCGACTGAGCAACGCGCAACTTGGCTTTTTCCGGGCGGTTCCCTCCGGCGGAGGACCCATATAAGGTTGGCGCCTGCTGAACTAAGGAGAAGGGAGCCGCCAGGAGCGAATCGATCACCTGCGAATTCACATTATCCTTCTCGACTACCTGGCGACGATTATCAACTGGATCTGGGTCATCCTAGCAGTCTTATCAACTGCGTGGTCGGCCAGACGATTAACCTGCCAGGGGGCCTCCTCGTATCCCAGGGTCCTGGCATCCTCGAGGCTGAGTTGGGAGCGAATGTGCCGAACCTAGATGGGCCGATCACCAACTGCAAAACTAGTTTCTTGTGCTTGAATCGCGGATCCGCTCGGATTCCTTTGACAACTCCTTCGTAATGAATGACGCAGAAAACGGGCCCTGCAGTGCATTGGATGGCTCTCAGGATGGCAATAAATCTGCTGCTGGAGCTGATTGGTGGTGGATTGGCAGGGGCCCTAAGGCCCAGCCGATGTGGTCTAGCTGGCCAGAGCGGAGAATCACAGAACCCCAACCACACCGACGAAACCTAGGATAAGCCGAATCCTCACCCCTGGACCCGTCCGACCCAATCCCTCCTCCTCCTCCTTCTCCTCCTCCTAATCCGCAATAGCGGTTCCGTAAAAAGGGATCCGTACGAAGGAACCCTGGGTGAGAAATCGTTACGAATGAATTCGTAAAAATCTGAAATAAAGAACACATATCTATAATTCGTTACTAAAGCCTCTATCGTGAGGATAAGGAATCCGGAATAAGGAATCTCCCAGGGGGAATCCTTAATAAGGAGACTTTGCTAAGGAACCTTAACGAGGAATATTTATGGAAGAATCCTTGGTGAGACATCTGTACTAAGGTACCCTTCCTAAGGAGTATGCACAAACAAATCCTCAATAAGGAATCTGTGCTGAAGGATATGTAATGAAGAAAATGTGCTGAGAAATTCTGAATCGGAACATGTGCGAAATAATCCTTCATAGGGAGTATGCACGGAAGAATGCGTGATGCGGAACATGGAATGTGGAATCCTTGATCATGAACGTTTACTACGGAGTACTGAATAAGGAACCGGTGCAAAAAAATGCGAAGAAAAAATCTCTGCTGAAGAATGTGTAACATGGAACTTTATATTCCGGAATCCTCCATAAAGAACGTGTATGAAAGAAACATGGGTGATGAACATTTGCGAAGGAACCGCTTTGAATCTATTTTTTTTTTTGTGTTTAAGGTGTCCTTAATAAGGGATCTGGACTAAGGAATCCTTCGTGGGGACCCTCTACCGAACCTCAAGCAGGAATGTGTACACCGGAATCATTAATACAGAACCAGGGTCAATGAACCCGAAATATGAAATCTGCGCTAAAAAACCCTTCGTGGGTAATCTTTGCTGATGAACCCGTAGAATAATGCATAGTTGTAAAAGAATTCGTAATACACATATGTACTAAATAATCATTCCTCACTAGATGACATTTACCTCGGAATCCTCACTAACGAAAACAGACTTATGACTATCAAAAAAAACTTCTCTTACGGGACCTTTACTACGGAATATGCACGCGAGTCTGTATGAAGGAACCCTGTTTAAAAACAACATTACCGACAAATTTCTTCATCATGGACCTGTACTAAAGACCCCATCAATAAAGAGTCTCTATTATTGAATTCTAACGGGAAATTCCTTAATACGGAATATTTACGAAAGAATCTTTCGTCATACACTTTTTTCTCTGGAGCCCTTGATACGGAGATTTTGCTGCAGAACCCATCTTTAACGGCATTTTGATTACGGAATCCTTATTCCAAAATCTGTACACAGGATTTCATAAGAAGGAGTATTTACGGATGATTCCATAGCAAGGAGCTTTCATTGGGGACGCATTAAGAAAAAAAAACAGTTCGGACGTAAGCCTTAATATGGAATCAGCACGAAGGAATCCTTAGAGAGAAACCTGTACTAAGGAATCGTCAATGAGGGACTTTACTCAGGAACCCCTGCGGAATCTTTACTCAGGAGCTCGAAATCAGAAGCCTTTCGCTAAGGGATCATTAGGCAGCCGATTGGATCGTAATGCGTCGCGAACGATTGCAACCTATCTGTTTGCAGTCGCTTCGGTGGAAGAGGTCGCAATTCAATTCATTGGCTCGCATCGAGTCGGTGCCACCCCCTTGGCTTACGATCGACTGGGTGCAATCGATTCAATTGCTTTTGTATTGCAATCGATTGGATTGTAATCGACTGGGTTGCAACTGACAAGATAGCAAAACAATGAAGAACAGGAGGAGGGAAATGGGGGGGGAAGGACTGACGGGACAAAGGGAGAATGTGTATGATCATGTGGGGGGCGAACGATATATATATATATATATATATATATATATATATATATATACACATGTATACGTATACACACGTCTTCCTTGGCCAGTCATTGGTAATCACCTTGGGTATTCGTTTTGGGAGCACGCGCTGTCCGGTTTGCCCCTTCGCCGACTCTGACCCCCCCGGAGTCCGACCACCCCTCTGGCAGGGCCCTGCCCATGCTGGGCGGGAGGGGGGCAGAGCGCAAAAGGAGCAGCGAGCACGGCGCCGCGGCCTTTCGGGCCCGAGCTCGGGCCGCTTCCTGGCGCGAGGGGCAGCGGCGTCGTTCCGTCGGACCCCCCTTCCCAACCCGGTCCTCATCCTCCTCAGCCTCCCGCTCCTCCTCCCGCGCTGCTCCTCCCCTTTCCCCCCCTCCTTCTCCTGCTCCTCGTCTCCCCCTCCTCTTCCTCTTCCTCCTCCCGCTCCTCCTCCTCCTCCTCCTCTTCCTCCTCCTCCTCCTCTTCCTCCTCCGCATCATCATCATCATCATCATCATCATCATCATCATCATCATCATCATCATCATCATCGTGACGCTATCCCTGACCAGGAGACATTTTGTGTCTCTCGGGCCAGGCAGGTCCAGCAGGACAGGTGGGCACACGGGCAGAGCTCGGCAAGAAACGAAGGAGAGGGGAGGGACGAGCGGACGACACAGACACACCACGGCACCACAAACACAACACAACACAACACAAACGAACGAGGAGGAGAGAGAGAGAGAGAGAGAGAGAGAGAGAGAGAGAGAGAGAAAAAAATAAAAACAAGACCCCTAGACACCCCGAGCGGGATTCTGGCATTTGCCGCATTATGAGATAATCGGTCGGAGACAGATTAAACGATTTGCGTTGATACTACGTTTCAGAGCCCGGGCAAACCACGAACATAAACGGGGGGATAAGGCTCAGCAGCGCGTGTCCAAAATTTGCCCGAGCTCTGATCAACGCCCGTTGGAACAATGTGGGGCTTGGACGAGTGACTGCATACACCACTTCGACCGTGACAGAGAGCGGGAAGCTGGATGGAAAAGCTGGGAGCCCAGATTTGCACCCTGGTCCTCTTGCGCCACCGAGCCCCGAAGCCACAGTAGTCTACGGTGCAGGCCTGGCTCGTCGGGTGACGGGCCAAGCGCTCGAGCGGGGGGGCCCTCCACAACCAACTGGATCCAGGATTCTCGAGCGCCACGGGAGTGCCAACACGGAGGCAGCCTCGAGCCACCCGAAGACAAACACGTAACTGGTCGTCCCCTCTCTTACATTCTTCGGAGGCCCTGGAGTCCAGATTGGGGAGGCCCCAAACATGCTCGACACTACGCAGCAGGCACCAACTGGAGCCGGGTGGCCCGTGGCGGGCTTGGGACCAGGTGCAGCAAGGGGTCCCCATCCACACAGCTGAAACCACGTTGCTCGAAATCCACCCCAGGAACGTCGTCTGAACGACGCGGCGGTTCAAATCCAACCAGGGCTGTTTCAAAGTATCGACCGAAATCGTGGCAAGACCCTGGGCCCGCATGGCCCTGGACATGCCTGCTGTTCCTGCAAAAAGCTCCAAGAAGACCTGGCTGTGACGACTGCTTGCTGAACCTAAAGCATGCCGCAAGACGCGGCGAAGGCGAAGCCTGACCTCACGATCCGTCAGCGCAGCCGAGCCAGGAATGGCGCCGGTGGCAGCGCCGCGCCTTCCAGCACGATGCTGGCCAAGTTGCTCCACGCGGCGCTGCCGAAGTCCAGTGCGGCCTGCGGTGCTCTGTGCAGCTCCGCCCGAGCGCGGGCCTCTTTGCCGTTCCGCTTCATCGTGGCGTCGCTCCGCCAGCGGCCGCGCGCATTGACCTCCAGCGGGCTCAGACGCCTTGCCAGCAGGTCGTGCGAGGCGCCGCCGTGCCGCCAGCCGTGGACGGTGATCCCCATCGCGGCCACGCCGCGCGCCTCGGCCGCCTCCTGGATCCTGACCGTGAGGTTGGCATGCTCTAAGGAACAGGTCCGCTGATCTGGTGAGCGGCATCTCTCCTTCAGCTTCCTCAGGCAAGGGCGCAGGAAGTCGAGGTCGTCGAGCGCCGCGCTCTCGTCCCAGGCGTCGACCTTGGTGGGCTTCTCCAGCTCGACTGGGCCCAGTAGGAGGCCCCAGCAGAGGGTCTGCGGGCCCGCGGCGGCCGCGGGCGGCACCAGCTGGCGCGCTGTCAGCAGGTCGCACTCTACGGGCCACTGGTACGCGCTGAAGGAGAGCAGAGCGGCAGCCGCCTGCTCGACCAGGCGGCGCGACAGCAGGTGGCCCACGATGGCGAGCAGCCACTGAGCGAACGCCACCGAACGGCTCTCGAGGTACGCCATGTGGGACGAGTCCTGGAGGGGCTCCGATGTCGGCGATGATCGGCGGCGCCGGGTCCGCCGTGCCGCAGCCGCTGCCGCCGACGGCGCTGCTAGCCCAGCCAGCCGGCGCCCCTGGGTCGCCACCGGGGTATGCATCTGGTAGGGGGCTGAGCGGGCCGAGGGCTGGGAACCGCGGCGCGGCTGGAAGAGGCTCTGCAGGTTTACCATCGCGATCGGCTTCGCGGTGTTCGATGGCCCCGTCCAGCTCCTGCTGCCGCTTGATGTAGGACAAACCTCGGGACGTATTGTCCGCTGGGTTCCTTTCGGACGGGACCCAGCGAACATGTATGTGGAGACGGCGCCCGAGGGTCAAAGCCACTAGCTCGCGCAGAATATCCCGAAGCTGAAAGGCCGCGGACTGGCCCTTGCCTGCCGCCATGGCGAGTCCCAAGTTGTCGACGAGGGCGAGTATGCGATGCCAAAAGGCTCGACGACCCCGAAGAGTGTGGCGCAGAGCGTTCGAGAAAGCCAGCCCCTCAAGACGCAGGATGTTCGTTGGGCCCCGCCATGGAAAGGACTCCACGATGTGCCGAGCCTCCGCGTCCGTGAAGCTTGCCTCGACCATGTCATGCGACTTCTTGAACTCGTCGGCCTGGCGAGGGCTGTCAGGACAAGCATCCGCGCAATCAGTCTCCGCGACGTCAGCTGCGAAAGCATGGCTCCTGGCCGCAGCGGCGCCCTGCTTGTGGCGCCACTTCTCCGCCGTGCGGCCCCAGCGCGCGACCAGTTCTGGGCCCGCTTGGCGCGCGCGCGCGCCGCGGCCCCACGGCGAAGCGCAACTGGCCGTCACTGACGAGAACCACTTGGCGTCCGTGTGGGCCACGAACAACGGGAGCAAGTCCCTGACGAGCTTGAGCTCCTCGATCACCGCGTCCCACAGCGGCGCGACCTCCCGCTTGTGCTTCTTCGCGATGGCGTAGACCGCGCTGAAGATGGACAAGGTAGGCCTCTGTAGCAGCATCAGCCATGTGGCATGGCCCAGCGCCACCTCCAGGACCCCGCCAAAACAACGCCCGCGCTTCAAAAGCTCCTCGATCGCCAGTCGAAGCCTCCACATGCGCCGCGTAGAGACCCGCGCAGGATGGGCGCGGCCATCGAAGGAGAGGCCAACGAAGTCGGTGTGGTCGACGGCCTCGGAGGTGTCCTCATGCACGGTGAAGCCCTGGTCCGAGGCTCGCGGAGACCTGCCGCCCTGCCGCTGAGACGCGCACCTTCGGGGCGCCCTGCACCGTGAAATTGTCGACGTAGCCCGCCGCGCCCAGCGGGCGATCTGGCCCGAGGGGCCGCGAGGCTGCGCGGTCCTTGACCAGGGCGTCCGCGCCCAGCCCGCCGCGCGCGAGGCCCTCCTCCGTGACCAGCTGGCAGAGGTGCAGCGCCCAGCTCCAGCCCATCGGCAGCGCTGTGAGGATCGGCGTAAGCGAAGCCGCGGCCGCGGATCGCACTCCGCCCACCAGCGGCCGCCCAACCTGCCCAGCTCTGACGGGTGGGAGGCGAAAGCAAGACCCGAGCTCGGGAGGCACCGAGATGGCGTAGAACGCGTTCTGCACGTCGTCCACGGAGTGCCAGACCATGTCGCACTCGCTGGTCTCCATTCTCGCAAAGGCCGAGGCGGACGGTAAGTGCGTGGTCGGGGGCGGCTCGAAGTCGCAGTTGGCCAGCCGCGCGTCGAAGATGATCCGCTGCTGCCCCGACTTCTTTCTGGCAAAGAATAGCCCGACGGTGGCCTCAGCCTGGGTAGGTACCAGGCGAACCATCCCGCGCTCCAGCATCCCCTGCGCGAAATCGGCGTAGACGCGCTGGTGGCGGGAGGCGGGGTCCACGTAAGGGCGATGGAGTCCGAGCTCAGACCGAAGCGCCGCCGCTGCAGCCAGAGGTCTTCGCATCTTGGCCGTCAAGCCCCTCAGCCAGGAGGGGTGCTCAGCCGAGAGCGCGCTACCCAAATCGACGGGGGCGGCTCCCACGGCTGGCCAAGACGCGAGGTCCTTGCTGTAGGGCACGACGGTAGTTGAAGTCTCGCCATGCATCGCGGCGGATCCGCAGAGCCCACGAAGGCCCCCGCGGGGGTGAACGTCAGCAGGGCGGGCTCCTGCGGCGAAGTAGCTGCGCTCCAGGTGCTCGAGGCAGGGCTGCTGCATAACCGAAGGCGGCCCGCTGAAACGTCGCCGCGACCAGAGAGGAGGTTGAGAGCGTGGATGCCTTCGTTCGCCCACTCGAGCGTGTGAAGACGTCGGAGAGCACGGCGCTCGACTGCCCGAGAGCGGCCACCTCCGCGCTGAGGTAATTGGAAAGTAGGAAGCGGGAACACGTCGCGCTGGCGACTCATCCCGCAGCAGCCGAAAAGAGAAAAGCCTGCAGGCCCAGGGCCAAAGAGCGGCAAGCAGCAGAATCCGTGAGCGAGCGGCCGGAGGCTACTCGCCTTCCTTGCCGCCCTTGGCCCCTTTCTTTGGATGGGCCAGCGCGCGCTCCTCCCTTGCCCTCCTCCGCTCCTTGGCGGTCGCGCTCTCGCGGGAGATCTGCCCGCTGATCCAGGTGCTGAGCTCCGACGCCACCATGAGCCCGCGAGTGGTGGCCATGCCCGCGACATAATAGTGCTCGTCTCGGTGGGCCTCGTCGCCGAGCTTGGTGCCGAGGATCTTGTCGCGGTAGCGTTCCTTGCAGTACTGCAGCTGGCGGACCACCAGCTCCAGTGCTCCGAAATTGCTGATGTCCGGCTGATCGTAGCACAGCGCGGTCTCGAAGATCTTGCTGCACTCGTGGTGCGTGGCCACCGTAATATCGTCCAAAGTGAGCCTGATGTTCGACCTCCACCGCGCATGATGGCCGAGGGCGCTGCCGCCATTCGCCAGCATGAAGCGAGCCACCCACGCCACGGTCCGCGGCCCTGGGACCGGCCAGT